TATATATATACATATGTGTGTATATATTATAATAATATATATATATAGAAGATTTGTTTAACAAATTGTTACCAAAAGTGTATTTAGAGAAATTAAAATAGTTTAAAAACTTTAGTGGAAGGAATTTCACAGTAAATATGATCATTAAATAATCGTGCACTTTATTTCTGTTGGTTGAGGTTGCTCACATTCTTCAGAGTCTTGGAACTGTAATGTACGTAACTCATCGGAATTCACTAAAAATATAACAAATTAATTAAAATTTAACTTTAATTTAATTTGCTTATCAAAAAATTATTTATCATAATAATAAAGGAAACTGAAATAAAATTATTTGTAAATTTGGATATATTTAACTTACAGATGTAAGAAGCAATGATATATTCATCATTTTCTATAGAATTATGAATTGTTTTTAAGATTCTTTTCAATCGGTTTCTAATATTTACTATTTCTTCATCAGAGAGTTTACTTAATAGATTAAGCTTGCAATCCCAGTAATAATTTATGCGTTTATTTACTAGAGACTCATGCAATTTGTGTAGCATCTAAAAATATGATTTTATTCTATATTTATATTGAAATTATGTTTAGTAAAAGTAAGCTTAAAACAACTAATAAAGAATAATTAAATAATAATTAATTAGAAATTAATTATTTAAAAAAACACGTAAACTCTATAAATATTTCTCTATAATATCTTCTTAAGTACTCTATAATAAAAATACCTCCATAAATAAAAGTGTACATGATTTTGTTTCTAAATTTTGATTAGATTGAACTTTATGTAATGCTAATGTTTCTATATAATAACTGGAAAGGTTTACCCACTTTTGGGTATCTCTTAATTTCTGAAAATATAATATCATTTCATTAAGGTTCTCATGTATCATATTTATACAAATATTATATTTATAAAATATAATTATATATATATAGTTCAAATACTTTCATAAGCTTTATCACTTGTTTAATATATCCATTTTTAGACAAAATTTCTTTCTCTTGTTCATAAAAACATGTTCTCCAAGAGATCTGTGTTTCTCCACTAATTTGTTTATAATTATATAAAGGCTTTGGTACAGCAAACCAGTTTTGTTTCTGAAAATATAAAATAATATTAACTACCTTACAAAAAAATATAAAATGGAACTAATTATTTATTAAACATTGGCATGTACATACTCGATACGAATCTAAATGACCTATGTTTGGTGGACTTTTGCAAAACTCTAACACTGGTACTATATCAATGTCTACCGTTTCATTATCAGAAAAATGTATTTTGAATGTAAATGCCGGTCCGGACTTTTTTATTGTTATCTGTGACGTATAAAATATTTGTAGTTTAGTTAACTTTTTAGATATTTAAGTTATTTAACAACTATTTACACATACTGTATATTCATTGTCTTTTATTTTTAATATATATCTATTTCCCCTCTTTGGTAAAGTTTTTACGGCTGCAGATAAAATACTTTCCATCCAGTTACGAAACTTTTCTTGGTGAAGATACCCATTTTTATCAAGTAATTTCCTCATTGACCTAATAAGATAATAAAATAAATTAATTAAATAATTTTCTCTCACAAGCTATAATATTATTACATATTACTAATCATTCCTAGATCAATTTGCAATTTACAATAATTTAGTATACTAATCTAATTAAAACATTTATAATTTATTATTTGTTGATATTATACATCTGATATATAGGGTGATTCACTAACTCTTGCTACCAAGATAGCTCCAAAAGTATGATAGTAGCAGAAAAGTTTATAGAACAAAAATTGCACGAAAAATTCGGGAGTATAATATGACATCAGTTTTTTTTTGCTAGGTTTAATCGCTTCCGAAATTTAAGGATCAAGTTTGTTTTTTTAAATGGAATGCTATGTGTTGGTACTTATTTTCGGATAACGGCTGTCGTGGCGAATCTTGGAAGTGACTACACCTAGCAAAAAAAACTGAAGTCATATTATACTCCCGAATTTTTTATGGAACTTTTGTTGTATTAACTTTTCTGCTATTATCATACTTTCGGAGCTATCTTGGTGGCAAGAGTTAGTGAATCACTCTTATATTAATATTATATATAATATTGTATAGAAAATTAACATTGTCTAATTTATTTTATTTTATAACATATCTTACCTATTTCTTCGTGTATTATCAGTTAAATTATCTAAGCCAGAATATATGTTAACAAAACCTGGATGATTACTTGGCTCTACCTAATATTAGATTACACATACATATCTTACAATTTAATATACATTTGTTGTTACTTTACTTTTCCATCTAATGAATATTCATTGAAATTCTTTGAAAAATTAAATAACAACCACATAAAGTAAAAACATATTTGTATAAATAAAATATGTAAAACATTTTTAAACAATTAAATGAAACGAAGAATAAATAATAAACAAATTTATACAAATTCAAATGATTATTCTAAAGTAAACATATCTCACATATATCTACGACATAACAAAATATTAAAACAAAAAAAAAGTAGTATTCTCAGAACAATTCAAATAATAGTTATAAATAAAAATTGTCTTACTCTAAGAAATTTATCAATAGATAGTTTTATTATTATATCTATGTCAAATTCTGTAGCTGCACCAATTTTCGTACCCTTATAATAACTACCGCCAAATAATTTTCTTTGAAATACATCATTAAAGAAATCATCTTGTTTCATTTTTTCAAGTATCACATCAATGATCTATAATGTAAAAAAAATTATATATAAATATATCTAAAAAATTTTAATATATATATATATATGTTATAGGGAAAATAGGACGTACCGGGTGTAAATGAAGATTAATCTTTTTAGTATCATTTTCTTTCAAAGACAAAAACTGTTTATTTATAGCATTAACTATTTTATTATTTTTTAAATATTTCTGTTTATCTGATGTATCAAAGAACTACATAAAAAGGAGAAACAAAAAAGAAGTATGTATTATAAAGAAAATCTTATATAAAAAGTAAATAATATATTTATATCATCAAATTTATAGTATATACTTATATATACTAATATATAATAATAGATAGATAATACAAACCTCCATTATGATATATTATTAATATTATCTATTATTATTTATTAATAAAAATAATTTAAAATATTTTTTTTATAGTACTAATGTTATAGTAAAGAGTAGTATTATTGCATTTAATGTTATATTATTACATTAATTTATGTTTTATTTTTTATGTAAATGTAGACGCACTGCAAAAATATATGTGTTCTGAATTTTACTTATGTATCATTTACGTATATATATGTTATACAGATGATTATTATTACTTTTTATTTTTATTTCCCGCCAAAGAGGGTAACAAGAATTGAATTTGATATGGTTTATAATATAAGCTTTTTAGATATATTATATTTTGTAAAGTTTTCAATTTATCGAATAATACACTACGTCGTTTAATGGCACTTTTACAAGTTGTTCTTACTTATCAAATTCTTGATACTGTAACAGATATCACAGATATTGTCGATATAAAATTGTTATTACGTTTTAAGTGTATATGTATATAGATTTTTGCACAAAATGCATTAAAGCAGTAGTTCTCAAACTGTTTATATTCTCAAAGCTTCCTATGTTAAAATCTAATCAATTGCCTTTGTCAAAAAGTTAAAAATTCTTTTTGTTAAACGATTGTTCTATTAAAGAATAGTTTACACTAAGTCTGACAGATTTCGTATTTTATCATATCGAATTAAAAATAAAAATAAAATTACGCAAATCTTGCAATATTTCGAAACACTGTGGGAAAGTTGCGTTTCCCCAGTACACATTTTGAAAATCACTGCATTAAAGGAAAATTGCAATATTATTTTTCATTGGATAACTTCAAATATACGATATCCAATCGATGCACGATCTTAACGGAAATGTTATTTTTAATAAGTATATTTTCGATTAGCTAATATTCCAATGTTGTATATCGTTTAACCGGCTGGTTATATGCGAATGTTTCTTGTTTATTTTTATTAAAATAGATTTGAAATGGTCCAGTGACGAAACGCAAATGTATATATAAAATTAACTATTACAGAGAGGGAGCGTCGATACTAAGCTAGGAACTAACTAACGGAATACAAATGAAAGCGTGACGGGTGAGTACGTTGCAGTACATACGTTGCGTTTCAACAGCGCAAGAAGAATAATGTCGTTGGAAGGACAAAGCAATCTGTGTTTTTGAAAAAAAATATAATAATAATAATAATAAAATAAAAAACCTAAATATACATTCTATAGCAAAGCTTCCCTTTTACGATATTAACGAATAAGCGATTGATAAAAATGGAAGCAAATTATCAAGCGACGCTAAGTCCAGCACGAACTTTGACAGGTAAATACAACTACTATTCTATTCGTAGATGTCAAAGCGAATGTCACTTTGTATAAATATCAGTTAGTTATCATTTTTTGGAAAAAATTACAACTTTACATATATATAACAAATTTGTATAATGATCAAATATTTTTTAGCTTGTATATAGAATAAAAACAATAGCAATATAGTAACTGCTAATAATTTATACATAGTTTTTGATTGTATAAACAATATACTTTAAACATTAAATAATTTTATTGAATTTCATTGAAAATCATTGCCATTGGTACAATGTTTAATAAATAAATAATATTACTATCTTTCTAATAATTGATACTATTTTCAATTAAATCAATAATAATCCAAAATTATTTATGCAATAGGAATGAATAATGAAACTGAAGATCCATATCCAAGTTTATCCGATTATCATGATTATGAACCAAATTTGGAGTTTGATGACACAGAACTGCAGACATCTTCGAATAATGGTAATATATATATATATTTTACAAGCTAGTAGAATTCTTTCTAATTATGAATATTTATTATTAAATATATGTATAATTTAATACATTTTTAGCTGTGCAGCTTTTAGAAGCAAAGCTAGATTTGATTAACAGTGGGACAGTAGTGACAGGCATAGATTATTTGGAGAGTCCAGTAAGCGACGGAACGATTGAAGAAAATTTTGAAGAAGCTCTAGTAGATGCTCCAGTTATAGAATCTGGTGTGTGACCTTTTATCTACTGTTAGTAGCCACTAAATGTCATGGCATTTGGTGGAACATAGCAGGTGAATCATGAAGATTGCTGTATAGTTTGTTACTGCATGGTGTAATGATGGAGAAAGATACGCATTAATAACAAATTGGATTCAATTTTCTTGATTCTATATATTGTGCCTAAATGTGATTACTAAATTGCCTTAGAGTTTATGACAATTGCTACAAATAATTACATATTTTTATACCTTCTTATACAATGATTTGTTTTTAATGAGCAGCTGATGACTTAGCAGCACTAGAAGGTGAATTAGCCGATGAAGAAGATTACCTTGATATATCGAGGCATGGAATCGTAGAAGTAGTGGGAGATGACAGTGCTGGTCGTAAAATAATAGTAGTGTCAGCCTGTAAATTGCCTCCTATTGGAAAAGAAGCTTTCAATCATGCCAAACTTCTTAGGTTAGTAGAAAAAGTTGAATATTTGTTATGCCATTGTAATATTAAATGGAGCAACGTAGTGCATTTTAAAGCTTTACATTTTTTATTAATTAATATTACACATATTATATGTAAACCATATAATATTACTTATAGTGAAATAATTATGTAAAATTCACGTTGCCATTGTAAGCGCTATTATTTAAAGGAATCTGCTTTAATTCATTTATTTCCACAATGGATTATATTTACACAAGAAGTCGCATCTGCCACATTTCCAAAATTATTAACTGCGAACTAAAATGTTGCTTTTAAACACTAAATTAAGACTAAATTACAGGTACAAGTACCTTTGCAACCATTTTTTAACCCTTGAACCGCGGATTTAACTGTACGGTATTTGTCAGAACACAACCGTGGATCGCGCTAGTTGGCATTGTAATTTCTTGTGAAAACACATGTCATCCAAAGTAAGTAAAGTTTTTATACTTCACGCATTTGTATTTTTATATCAATATTGTAAAATCAAGTTATATTATTGAACATTGAGACGCCGCTGTTTTATATCAATCAAGAGTATGTATTGATTAAAGGCCTTGCGGTTTAAGGGTTAAGCATACCTCTTCTCCTTTCCTGGTAGGAACTAAAGCACTAAGGCAGATTTGAAATTCTTATTTTATCATAAGAGAAAAAGTTTTTTAATATATATTTTATTTTATAGGTATCTGATGCATACATTAGACAAATTTGTAGAACAAGATTATAGTCTTGTTTATTTCCATTATGGTCTAACTTCCAAAAATAAACCACCACTCTCTTGGTTATGGCAGGCATATAAAGCTTTCGACAGGAAGTACAAAAAGAATCTCAAAGCACTCTACTTAGTACATCCAACTAATTTTATTAGAATTGTATGGCAAATCTTTAAACCAGCTATTAGGTAATCAAATTTGAAATATTCAATAATTTCTTATCTATACATTTAAATGACGTTACATTTATTTTACTGTAGTGCAAAGTTTGGTCGTAAAATGATGTATGTTAATTATTTAGAAGAACTAGCACAGTACATTAATCTCGATCAACTCATTATACCTCCGCAAGTATTACAGTAAGTATCATTATGGTTAATAGATAAAAAAAGTAAAAACTGTTTTCTTCTCTCTCTCTCTCTCTCTCTATTCTTAAAATTTTGCAACTAGTTTGAGTAGTTTATATTTTTCTGTAAGAATATCATTTTAAAGTACTATTTCAATATTTTTATATAGACATAATGAACAACTTATAAGCAAAAATAAAAAAAGTTTACCAACTAGTCCACCTCAAAGTACAGTAGCCACACCAGTCGGTACAACACAATTTGGTGCAAGTTTAAGTTTTATTAAAGAAAATAATAATGGTGACTCGATACCACCTATAGTAAAACAATGTATTGAGTTTCTAAATTGTCCAGATGGTATGTGTATTATTATTATTTATTATCAAAAAATTTTTTCATTTAATATATATATTATGAAAATGAATTCTATATTCCTAAGAGAGTAATTTTGTTCACAGCCCTAGAAACAGAAGGAATATTCAGAAGATCTGCTAATGTAGGAGTGATTAGAAAATTACAACATGACTGTAATCAAGGTTTGCAAGTAGACTTTAAAGGAGATCCTCATATAGCAGCAGTCCTTTTAAAAACTTTTCTTCACGAATTAGACGAACCCCTTATGACGTATGAATTATATGATGAAATTACACAATTTCAAAGTAAGAAACATTAAATTCTCAGTATTTATCAATCGTTTTATTCCATTATAAATACTAAAATTGGTTTATTTATAGCATTATCGAAAGATGAGAGACCTCGTAGAGTAAAAATATTGGTACTTGAAAAACTTCCCGAAGACAATTATCATCTTCTAAAATATATAGTACAATTTTTATCAAAGGTAATGTAGCAATTAATTATATGTATATATGAGAATTTCTTTTTATTTAATGGATATTTATTAACAGGTAATAGATAGAAGTGATTTAAATAAAATGACATCAAGTAATTTAGCAGTAGTATTTGGCCCAAATCTTGTTAGAGCACCTTCGTCACGTGGAATGTCTCTTTCTGCAATAGGACCTATCAATCAGTTCATAGATTTTCTATTTACATTTCAGGATAAAATATTTATCATCTAAATTGAAACTATAGGTGATAGCCAAAGGTCTGATAGCCAAACCAAATTAGTAGCGATTGTGTAAATTTGCGCATGTATGTGAACTGCGTGCCTGTACATGCGTGTTTTTAGTGAGATTTAAAAGTATGGCTGTTCAATTTAATATTATTAAGCAAGATGATATTCAGAATACTTGGTACCACAATTCAATGAAATTTTTTTTTAGAAATGTTAACACAACAAGTAACACTTTTATATATTACTGAATTAATTTAAAAAACATATTAAAATCATTAATCTAGTTATATTAACAAAATAATACTATAACTATTATTACATTGATAATTAACATTTATTGATTCATTAAAATTTTATATCACAGATTCATATTTACGAACATGACATGATTATAAAATATAGGAAACTTCATAACATTATGAAGTATAATTAGCACAATAATCTCTTATCTATACTTGCAACACAATCTCCAAAGGAATAGATTTATCATTTACAATAAATTAAATATCGTTTAATGTTAAATTGCCAGTCAAGATAGTGTATATAATTATATGACTTCATCATCATAAACCAAAGATTCAAGAAAATGTTAGGTAGTATATATAAAATATAGGCATAATATTATCTACATTGTATAATATTATAATATTGTCTATATTTAAATTAAGTATAATGTAATAAATATGGGTGTGATTTATAAAAGAGTAATAACGTACAGGATGCCTTGATTATCTAATTTTAGGATATCACTTCTTGATTTGTAAAATCTAATTTCACAAGTATAGTTAATTACAAATTATCTTATAATATGGTGCTTTTCATAAATCTAGTGTACAAGTCAGTCAATATAATTACTTTTCCGTTTCTTGTATATTTAATTTTTTTTTCTTTTTTTTAAAGGAATACTATATATATTTATTTTTATAATTTTTTCTATAATCATTATAAGATCTAGATTTATAAAAAAGTTTACTTAGTTTTATAAGATTTATTAAATATTACATGTATTTATATATTCATCAATTTCCTCCTAATCAACGTCACAAAATATAAATGATAAAGTAGATCTTTAATAATATCAAGCATCCTGTTATCATGATTGCATATGTACAAATTGAATAAATCGTGTAAATTTTTTATCTTATTGCACAGTACTGATCTGTAAGAAAATTTTAGGAACTCAATAGAAGATATATACACAAGAAAAAAAGGAATACTTATAAACGATCGCGAATTATTATGTTGTATTTCATATTGTATATTTGATCATGTCATCAAATGTTCTTTGGTGTAAAAGTATTATAATATTTTTCTAACAGTACAGAATTTCATTGATTTTCTTCTTATTGTATAAAAATGTACTAATTAGGATTTTTAAATATATCATTGAGTACATTTCTTGCAACAATCCTGCCATTAAATGGGTCATTAGAAAGTATTTACATAAGAGCTGATCAGTTGTCATGTTCTCTTTTATTTAAAAGACTAATACAATATCTGTATAGAACTAATGTGATTACATTCCTTGTTATTGTATTTAGATCACTGATAATGTAATCAAGCGTAATTGTATAAACATAACATAGTTAGTTAATAACATTATTAATATTCAGTAATTTACTCTGTCATTCCTTGTGGCATTTTATGTATTATATAATCATTAGTATTATATATACACATAATATATAATACTAGTTTAAACACATGAATACTTATGAAATATTTAATATTTACTAAAATGAAACTGTGTATTAACAAATATATCTTCATTATAAAGTTATTTATTGCTCAAATAAATAAAAACATGCACAATCCATGTATGTACTGCAATTAAGCGGAACATCTAATCCTTATATAATTTTTTTCAAATCCATGTTGTTATCAATTCAAATGTTATACATCATTAAATAAACATAAATACTAGCAGAAAAAAGTATTACATATATGTGTATATTATACTTGGTTTATTTTCTTATATGTCCCTTTATTCATATTTTTCCATATTTAAACATACATCTACTTATATGACATTAATTGATGTACATGCTGGTGAGAAATAATTATAATTAATCTTATTTTTAATATTATACTTATGTGTTTAGTATTTTCTAATTGTAATAATAGGTCTATGTTATTATTCTTCATTTTTTTCAAATAAAATATAGTAATAAGAAAAATTTACTGTGTTAATACACTGCAAAATTATAAAATCTAGGACATTTTATGTGTTGTTTACAAATTAGTAATACAT